AGGAGGCCCTAACGGCTGGGCCAGTGGAGGTGCTATTGAGAAGGCGGTCCTAAAGGACCACTGGGCGGCTGGTGGCGCGCGACAGACACGGTGGTTCCAGGGAAAGGGGAGCAAGCTTAGCAGCCTTACTGTGTCGATCCCAGAATTCGTCGCGCGCCGCCTCTGGGGCCGGAACTAGCCGGCTAACCTCCGCTGAACGAGGCTCTGTGCTTGCTGCCCCGGAGCCAGCCCAGCTGCCGGCGTGTCTCTGCGACTGAGCTCCACTGGCGTGAGGAGTCCCTGCAGCTTTGGGCATGAGGAGATCTCTGTAGGACTCGAGACGGAAGACATTCTTTTCAGGTTTGGGGCGTGAGGAGGTTCCTGTCAGTTGGGGAAGCATTGAAGAGACTCTTGTAAGTTTCCGGGGCTGCCAGGATATTCTTGTTAGCTTCGGGATTTAGGATGAGATCCTTGTTAATTTGGGGGCACAGAGAAGCCCTCATCAGTTTAACGGGGTTGCAAAGAGATGCTAGTCACTTTCCAAGTGGTGAAAAAAAAAATCCTTGTTTAGTTTCCAGGAGTGTGAGGAGATTCTAGTCAGTTTCAGGGGTTTAAAAGAGATCCTATGTAGTTTCAGGGGTGCAACAAGAACCTTGCCATTTTGAAGTAGGAGATGAGCCGGTAAGTTCTGCAGTTGAGATTTATTTATAATTTTTGAGGGTGATGAGACTCTCGACTGGACGGGGAACGAATGCTATTGGGTGTTATGGAAAGCTCTTTTAAACTCTCAGAGCCCCTCCCCAGAACTGTGGATAGTGTTAGACGGCCAATCTGGTATGCCTTGTCCTTGAAGGCTTTGTGGTGATTTTGAGTAACCCGAGCAGACTTGCAAGGATCCCTTATCTGTCTCTAGTTGCCCCTATTTTGGGGGTGAGAGAAGGGACTTTCCCTGAGATATCCCCAGCCTCTTTCTTTAGGCTGTGTTTGCGTCATAAGAAAGGGAGCTCAGGGAAGCATGGGGCAAGCAAGGAAAGGGTTCAGTGAGGGATTAAACAGCTTCCTGAAAAGGCTTCAGATATTTCCCTGAAACCCGGAAAGAAGTATCACCGACTGGGGCTGAAGAAGGTAGGGGGCGGGGAGCCTGCACTGCTGGCCAAGCGCTCTGCTGTAGGGTGAAAGGGATACTGAAGGCAGGGTGCACTTTCTGCAGTTGTTCCTTGTGGCTGCACCAGCTGTGTTGCATCCCAGAAGTGGTATCTCCCTACTTGAGAACTTAGGGTTGGTGCCCGGGGGACCTGATTCACTCTGTAAAAAGTGTTGTTTGTGTCCAGCCATCGTCCAGAGAGGACGCCTGCTGCTGCCTCCCGCCCGTCTTGGTACCACGAACCTGGCCCGCCACAGAACGCTCCAAGGCCCGGTGAAGATGGCCTCAGTGCCGGTGTATTGCCTCTGCCGTCTGCCTTATGATGTGACCCGCTTCATGATCGAATGTGACATGTGCCAGGACTGGGTTCATGGCAGGTAAGGAGGGCAGGTCAGAATGGACAGAATGTAGTGACCGGGGGTGGTTTTCACTCTCCTTTTCTCAACTCTGCTTTCGTCTCCAGCTCAGAACCTCCTTCCAACAAGAATGAATTCCAACCCTTACCCCATACCCAGGTTCTTCCATCTTTTCTTACAGACCTGGGCCTAGCTAACATTGGCCTCTGCTTTTTTCTCTCTGTTTTCTGCTATGTATTTCTTTGCATCCTTCCATTTATTTTATTTTATTTTTTTAAGATTTATAAGCTTTGTCCTTTTCGTCCACAAAGTATCATTTTTGTATCCTGGCAGTTGTGTTTTGCCTCAGACACTAGCTTTTGAGGAGACAGTACTGCATTTTTGAGATTTTTGAGTCCAGCAAACACAGGTTTGAATGGTGGCTTTGCCTCTTACTATCAGAACGACCTTGGGTGAGTTGTTTTGATTCTCAGAGTCTCATTTTTTTTTCACCTATGAAATAATCAAATGTCTCCTTCTTGACTACATAAAGCAAATTGTGTACCCTCAATAAATAGAGGAGAAATCCAAAAGTATTTTATTTCTACAGTATTTATCTGTAGAACCATTCAACCAAATTGAATTAAGCAGATGAGATATTAGGTAAAACAGCATAAGTAAAACCACTAATTTCCTCCAGTTAACCATGCATGCACATAAACACCTGTCACCCAGAATTCCAGGGAGGTTAGTGTGTAGAATAAGACTGTAATATTATCCCATTATTAGGATTTAAATCCCAGCTATAGAAATACAACCCTGAGGGGGATTTATACACTGGAGTACAACAGAACAGCATATGGTACCCCCTCCTGTTTCATGTTAGATTCTAGAATTTTCAGTTGTCACTAGTCTCTTCCAGAGGAGCTTTTCCTGTTATCATACCCAAGACCAAACTAAAGGTGCTGGTGCTGCTAAAATCCTGCCCTCAGCAGCGATTGCCCTCAGGAAGTACATCTAAATTCATATCCAATCAATCTTTATTGAATATTTACTGTGTACCAGGTGTAGAGTTCTGTTTACTGCCTCATGTTATTTCATTTAAGAAGAACAAACTTAGAGGGTGGGGTCTTTTTCTTCACCCTGAAAATAAGTGGGGATTAAGATGTCTTTCAAGACTCTGGTATCTTTGGTAGTGCTGATCAAATCGCTACTCAACTTAAACAGTTTCTTTCAGTGGTTCCTCTATACAATAAAATTCGATCTCTTTTATGTGACAGACAATTTCTTTTGTGATCTACTTGTTCAGTCTCATTCTCTGCCACTCTCCCTCTCTTGTTCTTTATTTCTCAGCAAGACTGAACTGTATTATTCTGGGAAAATTTTATACTCTTTTATTTCTCTTTGTGCTATTTTCAATAATACCCTCCCTTTTACAACTCCTAGAATACCTCCTCCAAAAGAACACTTTCCTCTGGGTTCCTATTACACTTTGTGTGTATCCTCATTAAAGAGTTATTATCATATCATAGTTATAAGTATGTCGGTTAATTATTTTTAAATAATTATTTTATTTAACTTTATTGATTTATTTTAATTTGACCAGAGAAAGGGGGGAGGAAGAGAGAGAGAGAGAAAGTGAGAAAGCAAACTGCCTGGTCTGAGACTCTAACCATGGTCAGCCATGTGAGAGCCCAGTGCCTTTAACCACCATGCCACTTGCCAGGCCCAAATGTCTGCGTTGATTTCTTTTTTTTCTAATTTTTGTCTGCATTGATTATTAACTAGAGCTCTCTTAGGACAGAGATGTCATCTTTTCATTTTTGGTATCTATAGAACCTAGTTCAGTGGTAAACACATAATAGCTATTGAGTACATTTTTTTTTGAGAGATTTTCACTGTAGGGCGCGTGCGCTCGCCAGACAGACAGAGAGAGACATAGAGACAGAAAGCGAGAAATCACCCCCCAGGGGGGATGGTCACACCACAATCCCTTCTCCTCCATTCTCCTCTCGGGATCTTGGGCATGCACGCACACGCGCCCGGCGTGAGTTTTAAGCCACCGGGTCCGGGACACGAACCGCAGTCGACTACGTGGGAGTCCAGCGACATAGCCATTGCGCTAACTGCTGGTTCCCTTGAGTACATTTTTGAATGAATAAATGAGTGAGTGAGTAAGTCTTCATGAAAAAAGCTATTGCCTACACCCTTTACTTAGGATTGTACAGGAAGTGTATAGGTTCAGACCTGGAAAATAGACTCCTGCCCAAAACCCTAGCTCTACTCTGGGAATAGGGAATAGGAAGAAATACTTCCTGAGTGCTAACTGTGTGCCAGAACCTATGACAGGAGCTTTCCATAATTTATTTAACTTATACCCAATCTTGAAATTTAGATTATTATTTTTTTTTTCTTTCTTTTTGGCATAGGGTGTGTGTGCTTGCTGGAGAGAGACAGACAGAGAAAGAAAGAAAGAGAGTGAGAAAGAAAGGGAGAAATCATTCCTCAGGGGGATGACGATGCTATAGTCCCTTCTCCTAGGATTTTCGGCACACACACATACACACACACACATGCCTGGCTTGATTTTCAAGTCACCAGGTTGACCATGTGGAAGTACATTGCCTTAACCATCACGCCACCTGCTGGTCTGATATTTTTCTTTTAAATAATGTTTTTTAATTTTTTTCTGATTAGGTGAGACATGCTTATTGTAGAAAATACAGACAAAAGAATGAAGAAAGAAACGAAAATCATCTCTGAGCCTACCATCTGGCACAGTCCACTGTTAAATTTTTTGTTGGATTAATTAATTCATTTATTTATTTAAAATGTTTTTGGCAGAGGGTATGTGTGCTTGCTAGAGAGAGAAAGAGAGAGGGACAGGAGAAAGAACTCCTCAGGGGAAGTGATCACATTGCAATCCTTTTTCTGTCTCTCCTTTTAGGATGTTTTGATCACACACACGAGCGCCCTGCATGTTTCTCATGCTGCAGAGTCTGGGACTTGATTTGTGGGATCAGCCTGTGGGTTCCGGCTGCCTTAACCACCAGGCCATGGATTAACTTCCATTAAAAAAATTTTTCCTGGGGCCAGCAGACGGTGTAGTGGTTACGTCCCTGAACTCCCACATGGCTGACTGTGGTTCAAATCCAGACCTGATGACTTGAAAATCACACTGGGCGTGTGTGTGTGCATGCCCAAGATTGTAGGAAGAGGATGAAGGAGAAGGAATTGCAGTATGGCCATCTCCCTGGGGGTGATTTCTTACTATCCTTCTCACTGTCTTTGTCTGTCTGTCTGTCTCTCTCTCTCTCTCTCTCTCTCCAGTGAGCACACATACCCTAAGGCAAAAACCTCAAAAAATTTTTTTTCTTTATGATAGATCATGAGAGAGAGAGATTATAAAAACCCTCCATGGGGCCAGCAGGTAGCATGGTGGTTAAGGTGCAGGACTTCCACATGGCTGACTGTGGTTGAATTCCTAGACCTGGCAGCTTGAAAATCATGCTAGGAGCATGTGCATACATGCCTAAAATCCTGAGAGGAGAATGAGGAGAAGGGATTGTGATATGGCCATTCCCCACTGGGGGGTTATTTCTCAGATTCCCTGTCACTGCTTCTCCTCTGTCTTTGGTGAGTGTATGAGCCCTGTGGCAAAAACTTAAAAAATATATATAGGAAAAGAAAAGAACACTCTACAGGGCCTACTCACACTCCAATTACATACTGCTAGGCCTCCTCCAGACTGTAAGATCCTAGATGCCTATGCTCATGCCTGGTATGTTTCAGGCTGACTGGGTCAGACAATCAAACCGTGATTACCACAGGGATTTTGCCTCTCTGGAATAGTGTATTACTGCTGTGCCATGGAGCTGAGTTGGCCCTAACTTCTGTCTTTTGACTGAAAATAAAAACATTTTTTTAAGGGTTTTGTCATAAGATGCATGCACTTGCCAGAGAAAGACAGACACAGTGAGAGGGAAAGTGAGAAATCACTCCCCAGGGAGGATCGCCACATTGCAATCCATTCTCCTCCTGGGAGTTTGGGTACACATGTGATTTTTAGGCCATCAGGTCTGGGATTCGAATCATGGTCAACCATGTAGGAGTCCAGTGCCTTAACCACTACACCTCCTGCTGACCTCAGACATATTTTTTAAAGCTTTTTTTTTTTAAAAAAAGTATTTAACTTTATTTATTTATTTATTTTAATTTGACCAGCGAGGGACAGAGAGAGAGGGAAAGTGAAAAAGCAAGCTGCCAGGTCCAGCACTTGAACTGTGGTGGGCCATGTGGGAGTCCAGTGCCCTTAACCACCACATCACCTGCCAGTCCCAACATATGTTTCTATAAAATGGGATTGTATTTTAAATACCATTTCATGACCTGTCTTTTATTCCTACTTAAGATTATAATGTGAGTGTTTACCAAATCATGAAATATTTGTCTAAATCTGCTTTTAGTATCCCATTTTATTTCTGTGCCACGAGTTACTTGGTTATTTCCTATATGGGCGGAAACATTATTTGTACTTTTATATTATAAATAATATGATATGAGGAAACTTTGGGGTTTGTGAAGAGGTTTTTGCATCCTTTTTTGTTTGATTGGTTGTTTTAGATTTTTGCCATTGGTTGTATGTACTTGCCAGAGAGAGACAGATGTAGAGAGAGAGAGGGAAAATGAGAAATCATCTATTTGGTGTATGGCCATACATAATCCCCTATACTCTGTTCTCCTCTCAGTATTTTGGGCATGCACACACATGCGCCTGCGTTTTTCAAGCCACAGAGTCTGAGACTTGAACCACAGAGTTGGCCATGTAAATCCAGTATCTTCATTACCATACCACCTGCTGACCCCTGTTTTTGCATCTTTTTAAAAATAATTTTCCAGAGGGTGTTCTTGCCAGAGAGAAAGAGGAAGGGAGAAAGAGAGAGAGAGAGAATGAAAGAAAAGGAAAGCATACTCCCCTCCCAGTGGGGCATGGTCATGTTGAAATCTCTTCTTCCCTATATCTCCACCCTGTTGGGATTTGG